GTGCCACCACACCCAGCTAATTTTTATATTTTTAATAGAAACAGGGTTTCGTCATGTTGGCCAGGCTGGTCTCGAACTCCTGGTCTCAGGTGATCTGCCCGCCTTGGCCTCCCAAAGTGCTGGGATTACAGGCGTGAGCCACAGTGCCTGGCTGAGGTTAAATAATTTGACCAAGGTCACACAGGTAGTATGAATCAGAGTTCAAATCCAGATCTGTCTGAGCTGAAGCTTATGTGCTGAACTAATTAGACATGCAGCTTCCCTGGTAGAAAGCTTCTTTGTCCTCGTGCTGAGCTGTAGCTTCTCCCAGTGTCCTTTCTTTCCAGGGTAGGGTGGGGTGGGGTGGGGTATCATACAAATCATGAGTGAGATGACAGTCACGTTGGTATTTAGTACCTCAAAAGTTTTTTTCTTTTCTTTTTTTTTTTTTTTGAGTCGGAGTCTAGCTCTGTCGCCCAGGCTGGAGTGCAGTGGCCAGATCTCAGCTCACTGCAAGCTCCGCCTCCCGGGTTTACGCCATTCTCCTGGCTCAGCCTCCCGAGTAGCTGGGACTACAGGCGCCTGCCACCTCGCCCGGCTAGTTTTTTATATTTTTTAGTAGAGATGGGGTTTCACCGTGTTAACCAGGATGGTCTCGATCTGCTGACCTTGTGATCCGCCCGTCTCGGCCTCCCAAAGTGCTAGGATTACAGGCTTGAGCCACCGCGCCCGGCCCTCAAAAGTTTTTTTCTACAAAGATCCCCAGTTTCCTAATTTTTTTCTGCTTAATACTGAACTTCCTCACAAGATCATGATTCTTATTTCTAAATCGTATTTATCTTATTTTTTTTCTAAAAAATAATACATGCATTTGGAACAAAAAATATTAGAAAAAGGGTGTGTGTGTGTGTGTGTGTGTATAAGGGTATACACATTATATGTGTTATAATGGTATACACACACACGTATATATAGAGAAAGACTGTATGTTAGAGTGTTTTACAAAATATATCGATGGTAACAAACTATAAAAAACATTCAGCACCATGCTTTTTTCACTTAAAATATCTTGGGGATACATCTAGAGCTGCTTGTTGTTTTAACAGCTGCGTCATGTTTTATTACATAGATGTGCCTTAATTTATTCAGCCAGGCTCATGGGTGATCATTTAGCTTGTTTCCAGTTTTTTGCTGCTACAAATAGTGCTGTATAAAATATCCTTGTACATGGCTTTGTAAACATGCACATATCTGTAAGATAAACTTCTAGAAGTGGAACTGGATTCATAACATTGCCAAATTGCCCTCTGAAAGGTTATACCAATTCAGACACCCACTGATCCATTTATCATTCCCTACTACAATATACCTTTGCCAACATAAGGAATCAAACTTTTTGATCTCTGGTAACTAATAGGTTAAAAAAAGGTATCACGGCTTTACTCTCTTACTATATATTTTCCTTTGTTTTTCTTTTATGGCTTTTAAATTTCATGTCATGTTTAGAAAGATCTTCTCTCAGATTATAAAATAATTCTCTCAAGACTCCTTTTGCGGCCGGGCGCGGTGGCTCATGCCTGTAATCCCAGCACTTTGGGAGGCTGAGGCGGGTGGATCACGAGGTCAGGAGAACGAGACCATCCTGGCTAACATGGTGAAACCCCGTCTCTACTAAAAATGCAAAAAATTAACCTGGCAGTGGGCGCCTGTAGTCCCAGCTACTTGGGAGGCTGAGGCAGGAGAATGGTGTGAACCCGGGAGGCAGAGCTTGCAGTGAGCCGAGATCCAGCCACTGCACTCCAGCCTGGGCGACACAGCGAGACTCTGTCTCAAAAAAAAAAAAAAAAAAAAAAAAAAAAGGCTCCTTTTGCTCTTTTGTGTGTGTGTGTGTGTGTTTTAATGTTTAAACCATTGATCTATCTCTCTTCTCCTAAAGTACCATGCCCAGAACTGAAGGTAATTCTCCAGCCCAGAGCAGAGCACAGCTGTCTCCACCTCCCTCATCCAGACATTGCTGTTCAGCCTATGATCAGCCTAGCCTCTTGGCTGATAATGAATTTACTGTCAATTAAAACTGAAAGTGTTTTCACAGGGGCTGCAGTTAAGCCCTCGCTTCCCCATTCTGTATTTGTGCATATGCATTTATATTTATGGGAGAAGCAGAGGTGACGGACTTGTTGCCTGAAAATACTCCAAAAAGCAGTTGCTCCAAAACCAAATTAAAGCAGAGAGCCAAGTTCAGATCACTTACTCTTGCACCGTCTTCCGTCCTCAGCTAGAACAAATCCCTCTGAGCATTTGCAGCTGTAGGAAATCCCATTATTAACACAAATGTGTTCGCAGCCATGGTGGGTTGATTTGCAGACATCCTTCCCTGAGGAAAATGTAGGGAGTTGAACAATCCCATCAGTGTAGAAATGAGGTGAACTGAATAGTCATGTGAGTAGAGATGGTGGAAGTAATCTCTTTTAAAGAAAATACACCTCTCTTCAAACCTCCTTCATAATGTCTTTTTTAGTCTCATACTCAGGATGGGGAAAAAGCTCCTCTCAGAAAGCTCCAGCTCCCATGAGTCTGAATGGTATGATGGGTGATTAGGTGTCCTTGATTTGCTATCCTATTATTAGATGTGCTTTAGCTTCTAATTTATTTTGCCACAGACATCCCAAACACTCCAGTTCAGATTGTCTAATGAACATTTCTCATGTGTGAGGTAATTTAAACTCTTCGAAGTACTTACAGCCCTTTAGCCCTCACAACACCCTGTGAGAGGAAGAAGACAGGGGTAATTATACTCAAGGTATAAATGAAGAATCAGATCCTCAGAAAGCTTCACTGCTGCCCACGGTCATCTGGCAGGTTGATGACACAGCTGTCTCCCGAGTGCTCCTCCATAGCCTGAGAGCCTATGGCTCTTTCCTGTCATTTGCCCTTAAAAGGAGAGGCCTCACACAAAATTGGAATCAGTGAGTACACATCCCTCTAGGAAGCAGGAATGGTGAAATCTGATTTAGGATCAAATTCCAGAGGTAGAAGTTGTACCTTGTGTACAGTAGCTTCATTTACTGAGCAAAAAATGTGTTGAATGAATAAACAGTGTGTGTGAGTGTGCAGATGTTTGCAGAAAGAAAAGCAAGAGGGCTAGGCGTGGTGGTTCACACCTGTAATCCCAACACTTTGGGAGGCCAAGGCAGGCAGATCTCTTGAGCTCAGGTGTTCAAGACCAGCCTGGGCAACATGGTGAAACCACATCTCTACAAAAAATACAAAAATTAACTGGGTGTGGTGGTGCATGCTTGTAGTCCCAGCTACTCAGGAGGCTGAGGTGGGAAGATCGCTTGAGCCCAGGAGGTGGAGGTTATAGTGAGCCAAGATAGTGCCACTGCACTCCAGCCTGGGTGACAGAGTAAGACCCTGTCTCAAAACAAAAACAAACAAAAAGAAAAGCATGAACAAAGCAGCACAGACAGCCACAATGGGCAGAATTATAGAAAAATCCCCACAAGAGGGCCACTGCCGTGTGAAGCTGAACCTGCAGTTGTGAGGGGAATCCCTGCAGAGTCAGGCCAGGGCACCACAGGCATCCTAGGCACCAGTCGTTCACACAGAACTTCTCGGTAAAGGCAGGAGTCCCTCTTCCCGGTGGAAGAAGCGAGGTACTGAGATCCATCCAACCCAGCCTTGCTGGCTTGTGGAATGTCCCCAGTTATCTCAAAGGAGTCTGTGAGAAAATTCCCAAAAATCAACCTCAAAAGCAACTGAACTTATTTTGACTTAATTTAAAAAGGGTCATTTTGCCCACTGGGGCAAAGTGTCACAAAAGCAAGTAGACTTTGTCAACCACCCTTCCCCGCCAAATAGGGAATTACCACCTCAGAATCTCATGGTGGGGAAAAATCCCTGCTCTGTACTCTCCTAACGCCCACCTCACTGAGCTCGTATGACATCCCTCTCTTCCTTTGGGTACTGTGAAGGTTAATCTGATGTGTCACTTTGGCTAGGCTATTGTGCCCAGTTGTTTGGTCAAACACCAGTCTAAATGATGCTGTGAGCTAATTTTTAGATGCAATTAACATTTAATCAGTAGACTTTGAGTAAAGCAGATCAGATTACCCTCCATAATGTAGATGGGCCTCATCCAATCACTTGAAGGCCTAAAGAGAAAAAGACTGAGGTCCTCAGAGGAAAAGGGAATTCTGCATCTAGACTGCCTTCAGACTTGGGCTGCAGCATCAGCTCTTGCCTGGGTCTCCAGGCTGCCTACAGATTTAGAACTTGCCAGTCCCTGACAATTTTGTGAGCCAATCCCTTAAAATCAACCAATGTTTTCCTCTCTCACCATATATATATGTGTGTGTGTGTGTGTGTGTGTGTGTGTGTGTGTGTCCATTTTTCCTGTGGAGATGATATATTAATAGAAGATAGAAACAGACCATAGTATACATATATATATACACACACGTACATATATATGTGTGTATAAATATATCTTCTATGATATATATAAATAGAAGATAGAACAGACTATAGAAGACATGTATATTATATATGTCTTCTATTATATTTATATATAATAGAAGATGAAGATATACATAGAGAAGGTCTGTTTTTCTGGAGAACTCTGGTGAATATACCTTCTAACTAAACTCTCAGAGCCTGTTCTGGATGACCTATAGAAGCAAATGATACAAATAATGGAAAAATAAAATCCACAGGACATCCCTCTGATATGGTTTGGCTGTGTCCCCACCCAAATGTCATCTTGAATTGTAGTTCCCACAATTCCCATGTGTTGTGGGAGGGACCTGGTGGGAGGTAATTGAATCATGGGGACAGGGCTTTCCTGTGCTATTCTAATAGTGAATAATCTCCACAAGTTCTGACGGTTTTATAAAGGGCGTTTCCCTGCACAAGTTCTCTTCTCTTGTCTGCCACTGTGTGAGATGTGCCCTTCCCCTTCTGTCATGATTGTAAAGCCTCTCCAGTCAAGCGGAACTGTGAGTCCATCAAACCTCTTTCTTTTGTAAATTGCCCAGTCTTAGGTATGTCTTTATCAGCAGTGTGAAAATGGACAAATACACCCTTTCACCCTTTGCTCTTACTTTTAAGGTCTGCCAAGAGGAGAAAGCTCTGTAATTAACTTTTGATCCTTGTGATTGCTAGCAGAGGCTCTAATTCAGTCCAGTGACTAGGCAGGCACCGTGCGAGGCTCTGGGCACCCACACAGCTGCTGTGGAAAGAGCTGACAGCCGGCAGAAAATGAAGAGAAGCAAAGGACCCAAAACTCAGGCCTTGACTGAGAAATTCCCAAAAAAGCAAGAGGCTACTGAACTGATCTCTAGCTAATCACTTTCAGAGCACCCAAGGCAGGAACTGACACTTGTGACAGTGGTAATAAAGGAGGACTTTAAGGACTAAATGCAGTTCTCTAATTCTGAGTCCACTGAGGGAAAAGTTCTTCTCCACCTCAAGGCTACTTACTTTGGCAGCGTTTCCCATCCTCAGCGAGCCGGAATCCCTCCAAGCACTTGCATGTGTATGAGTCGTCACTGTTCACACAAATGTGTTCACAGCCATGGTCTACTGCTTGGCAGACATCTTTCCCTGAAGACGGGAGAGCAAGTTTCAACAATTTCGCCAACATGCATTTCACATGGACTTCACCCTGGAGGACCCATCTGCTGGAGTCCGCTACCGGATTCTACTGCCCCCTGAGCTCAGTGGTCTGCGGGGCAGGAAGATACAATTGAGAACAAAGTTTAGGGGCTCTAATTCGAGCTAACCCTTCAAACTGTTTCACAGTCTTCACCATCATCATTCACCAGCACTACTTTAGTGTTAAAATGCAGTCCATCATCAGCTTTCTGTAGACATAGTTTCTGATATCAGAATGGAAACACTGTTGATATGATTCCTTAGGAGATGAAACCTCAATTTAGATTAGCAGCACTGAAATCTCACTTTGGCTTTGTGCCTGACATAGTGTATGACTTAGGAGAATAACTTAACTTCTTGGAGTCTTAGCTTTGCTGTCTAAAAAATGAGAGAGTAATTACTCCAGCTACCCATCTTTCCTTACAAAAGTGTCAACATGAGTTGCTCTTTATAAAGTGCTTTGAGACGTTGACAAAAAGATAACTGATAGGGCTGGAAACCAGGGTCACACACTCCCCTTTGATTATTCAGAGATGTGTCTTGAGATTTACGCCAGCAAGTCACTCTAAGGCTGCTTGTCCTGGGTTGGCTGGCTGCAGCCCCATCTAAGAGGCTTTGCCTTCTGAAAGGCAAAACTGGCTTCATCACAAGGTGCCCTCTGGGAAGGATTTGTGCTACCAGAAATAACAACAACAACAACATTATTAAAGATAAATAAGCAGAGAGGCTTAGAGAAGTTAGACAACTTTCCCAGCTAATGAATGGCAGAGACAGAAGTTGATTGAATCTTGGATTTCTGACTGTCCATCTTTCCACTAGAGTATACTGCCAAACCACTGTTTCTTGCCACAGAGCATATAAATGAAGAACTTCAGTAATAGCTCTGGCATCCACTTTGTTTGTCCATTTTTTTAATAGACTTTATTGTTTAGGACAGTTTTAGATTTACACAAAAATTGAGATGATAGTGCAAAGAATTGCCATATACCCTACACCTAATTTTCCCTATTATTAACACCTCACATGAGTGTGGTCCCTCCGTTATTATTAATAAACCCATACTGATACATGATTATTAGCTAAAGTCTGTATTTTATTGACATTTACTTAGTTTTTCCCTAATGTCCTTTTTCTCTTTCAGGATCCTATCCAGGACACTACATTACATTTTGCCGTGTGGCATTGACTTCTGAGAGGAACTGATGTATACAGAGGTGAGGATAGCAATTTCACACAGTGGTCTGGCAGAGTAGTAGGAGCCAGCTCCAGTACAAACTTACTTCTGCAGGTTTTCCCATCTTCACGGAGTATATAACCTTCAAAGCACTGGCATACATACGAATCTTCACTGCTTACACACGAGTGTTCACAAGCATGGTCCCCCAGAGCACAAGAGTCCAGTTCTGAGAATCAAATGGGAATTAGAGAAACAGAAGAAGAAAATGACTCATACTGAGTGGCTTATTCAATCATAAAAGACATTTCAGACACCTTGAATTAAAACAGTGCCTTATCCTACAGTACACATTTCAGAATATAAAGCGTGTCTATGAGCAAAAATTCCTTTTTCAGAGAGGGAATCACTCTGCCACCCAGGCTGGAGTGTGGTGGCATAATCTCAACTCACTGCAGCCTCCGCCTCCCGGGCTCAAGTGATCCTCCCATCTCAGCCTCCTGGATAGCTGGGACTACAAGCACGCACCACCACACCTGGCTAATTTTTTGTAGAGATGGGATTTCGTCATGTTGCCCAGGCTGGTCTCGAATTGCTGGGCTCAAGCAATCTACCCACCTCAGACTCCCAAAGTGAGCAAGAATTCTTAATATGTACATGGCACATAAAATTCAAACAATATGATCATCTCCACAAGAAAAATGAACAAAAAACATGAGAATACAAGTTACAGAATGCGAGATAAATTACTTATAAATATTAGAAAATAAGATTAACCTAATTGGCTATTATATAACTATAATATCAACTTATTTACATATCTACTTATGTATGTATATATATATTACACTTAGGTAACCAATTCATTCACGTATTCAGTCAGTTCACAAATATTTTTTGAGTCCCTGTGATGAGCCAGGTACTGTTTTAGGCTCTGGGGATACAGCAACGAACAAAACAAAGTCTCTGCTTTTGTGAAGCTTACATTTGGCAGCAGGTGTCAGGGGAAGAGGGATGCGTGGAAAACAGACAAACATGTGATATGTCATGTGGGAAAAAGTGCTATGGAGGAAGAGCAGGAAAGAAGGATGGAGAGTGGCTGCTGGGCTGGAGAGTAGGGAGGGCTTGTTATGTTATATGGTGTGTCAGATACGGTGACACTGAGCAGAGCCCTGCAGAAGGAGAGGAAGTGAGTGGTGGTGTCTGGGAAAGAGCATGATCAACAAGAAAGAACAGCATTTGCAAACTGCAGCAACAGGAGCTGCTTGGTTGGTGTGTTTCAGGAAAGGCAAGGAGACCACTGTGACTGGAGCATCCAGGAGCCTGGCAGGGGATGAGGCCAGCAAGGCTGGCTGGGGCAGACCATGTGGGGTTCACAGTAGGGGTCAGATCTGAAGGAGAAGGGCAGTCACTGCAGTGTTTCGAGCAGTGGAGTGGCATGAAATGGGTTTGTTTTGAAAGGATCACTCTGCACAGAATGGAGCTCGGACAGCTAGGAGCAGCCCTGTGCAAAGATCTTGGTGGTCCAGACCAGGCTGGTGAGAAGTGGTCAGACTGGCTGTATTTTAAGGTAGAGACTATAAAATTTGCTCATGTATTAATAAAGAGTCCATATGGATAGGACGGAAGAGTCAAAGAAGACTCCGAGGTTGCTGGACTGAGCAACTGAAGGATGGTGTTGCCATCTTATAGGGCTGGGTGGCTTCTGGGGGACTAGAAGGTTTGTGAACCTGTGAAAACCAGGCTGTTATTTTAAAAGCTTAATACTGAGGATAGGTGGGTGGTGACTTTTTATAGGAACCATACATATTTCTGAAAGTTAACTCAATCCTTTCAGATTGAGTAGAATTTCTAAAATGGACACGAATTGGAGTTCTTAAATAAAGGCCCCAAAGCACATAATGACCTTTATAATCAGGCACAAACCACACATATTTTTTGGTAAAGCATCTTTGCAGTATCTCTCTGGAGAGGCCTCCTCAGAACCACCTTTGGGTTAGTTAAGGCAGCTGTTGTTATTCTCCCTCACCAGCTAGGGAAACTAAGGGTTGGGAAGGCTAATGGCTTGTCAAGACCAATTGTTAACAAGAGAAAGAACCAGACAAAAATTGTAACCTTATAAATAAATCCCCGTTTTTTCTGACTATACTGCATTGCTATATTCTAAAGCAAGCTTTCAAACGTGAAGGGAATTCTGCCTCTCTTTCTTTGGGCAGAAGCACTGCCAACATCTTTGAAGAATGGGAAAAGGTTGATAACTGCGATTACAGCTGCAGAGGAGGCTCAAAGCCAAGTTGGACACTCCTGCTTGCCCTGAGTGTGACTTACTTTTCTAGGCAAATTCTAGACTCACTACTAATGCAGAACATTTCCCAATGGCTTGGGGTAGTTCCTCACATAGTGTAAGAATGGAAAGTACAATTAAGTAATCCATGATACAGACAACTGGATGGCCATGGAGGTAAGGTGTTTTTTTCCCCCTACCATGAATTTATAATAACAATACTACTCCACTTTCCACGGTAATAAAATAGCTATAGCTCTTTCATGTCAGCCTTGTCAAGCCATAATCTAGACAGACCCCTCTGAGCAAGCTGTTTTTTTGTTTTTTGTTCTTTGGGTTTTTTTTTTTTTTTGAGATACAGGCTTGCTCTGTCGCCCAGGCTGGAGTGCAGTGGTGTCATTGCGGTTCACTGCAGCCTTGGCTCTTGGGCTCATGTGATCCTCTCACCTTAGCCTCCTGAGTAGCTGGGACTACAGGTACATGCCACCATGCTTAGCTAATTTTCATATTTTTTGTAGAGACGGGGTCCCACTATGTTGCCCAGGCTGGTCTTAAGTTTCTGGCCTCAAGTGATCCTCCTGCTTCCGTCTCCCAAAGTGCTGCGATTACAGGCATGAGCCACCACAACTTATCTGCAATGGATATTCTTGTGCATGTAGTTTTATGTACAATGTGAAGGCATACCTGAAAGTTATACATCCAGAAGCAGAATTGCCTAGGTAAAGGGTATGAATATTTAAAGGCAGATAAATATTTCCAAATCACCCTCCAAAGAGATTATTTCAATCTCTACCGTCACCAACAATGTAAGACAGTCTCTGTTTCTGTTTCTGATTCAGGGTTTCTGGGATGCTGCCTGGGTCTTTAGACTTTTTCCAAGCCCCATAAATGATTTCAACGAATCATCAGAGGTGAGATGTTGGCAGTGGCCATAATGCCTGGCACCTAACAGACCCCTAGGAAATCCTGTTGAACAAAAGGAAACATTTCCTCAGTTTTCTATTCTGAAAATTGAGGGTAATTAGATCCACCTCACAGGGGTTTTGTGCAGATGTTTTAAATAAGAACTCATGGGGTGTGTAGATGTTTGTGGCCAGCTAGGCTTCCCACTCTCTCCCACACACCCCCTTGCAAAATGCACGACTCATATTTCTTCAGCAAAATGTCCAGTTTCTGCCCTGCAGGGATGTTCTGGGCCACTTATAAATTCAAAGAACCACGGATGGGAAATTAGAGAATGCCAAAGTCGGACGATAGTTAACCTCCTGACCATAGGCACTAGCTTTCTATCCACCAAGTCTGGAAACCAACTTGGAGTCAGTTTCTCCTTAGGGCAAAGATATTCCCCTATAGGAAAATGCTTCAGTGGTCCCCTATCAGGCAAAGAGAGCCACCACCCTGACTCACTACCACCGGGTGTCTTCAGCCTGGGAGACGATGGTGGGCACCACAGTAAGTTCATTCATTCAGCAAGTGTTTACGGAACACTTATCTGAGCCAGGCAATATCCTTGTTTGGGGGCTGGAAGTTCAACTTATTGGATATGAACTAGTCCAACCCCTTCATTAGAGATGAGAAAACTGACGGTCAGAGGGGAAGTGACTTTCCCAATGTCCCTGAACCTTCAGAGGTGACTGGTCTTAGCTGTCCTGGGGGCAGAGATGGGACTATATTCAAACCTGTTACCTCCGTGTCCCTGGTCCAGCTGCACATCCACGGATCATCCTAGGTTAAAAGGGTGTGCTGAGGCAGCCTGGCAGATTCTCAGAAGACAAACTAGACAAAAATCATTTTCTCAAGAGATGCCTGCCAGGAAGTCTCTCGTAACTCTGCAGGCTGTAGGTGGGTAATGTGTGTCCAGCCGGCGTCCCCAGCCTTGTCTCTCACCCGCCTCCCTCTTGCACTCAGTACTCCATACTCAGAGCACGGAACTTCCTGCAGTTTGCTCTCTGGCCCCTAGGAAAGCATTTCCCCTCCATCTTTGGCTGGCTCACTGTGCTCGCTCTCTGGGTGTCTGATTAAACATCTCTTTCTCTAGACTAGGGGAGGCTCCCGCGGCCCCCTCCTTCCCACATCACCACTCTCACCCCATGGAATGGACGCTGTCTCTGCTATCCTTCTTCCCTAAGAAGCTTTAAACGCTGTCAGGGCACAAACGGAATCTGCATCAACCCCAGAGATCCCCAGCACCCCGCACACTGCAGGTACACAGTAAATATTCGTAGAGAACGAGGGTAAAGGAACCAAGTGCTTAAGGAAGTACCTAGATTCAAACCCAGAGAGGAGAGCAAAGACAGACTCCATTAGGAGCCATCACTTAAGTGAAATAGGTGGGAGGACGTATGAGAAATCTCAAGAGGGAGGAAGAAAACATTCTTCCTCTCAAAGAAGGATTCTCCTCCTTTTACACATAAGGACCCAGGCCTACGTTTTTAATTAAACCCTCATCGTGAATGGATTCTGCAGTGTGTGCTCAGGATGATGAGAAGTTTTAGGATGTAGCACAGGTCTTTAGGGTCCACGTCTAGCAGCTCTGCACGCTGACACAGGTGAGTCACATATGTCTGTGGCGCAGCAACTGTGGGGCAACGTGTTCTGTGGACTTGCACCTCTGCCGTGATGACAGACAGCAATCCTGCGTCTGGGGCTCCACGTAAGACGCTGTTAACCCCAACCCCAGAGATGGAAAGCCACAGCGGCCATCTGCCAAGACAGTAACCAGAAGCCGACAGATAGAATTACACTGCTTCCTGGCTTTTCTCGTAATAAAACTAGGAGCAGCCAATCCTTTGCTAACTTAATATAGGCTTTTTCTCAGACAAACCAAGAAGCAGCTGAACTGAGATGTGCTTTTCCAGGGCATCTCACACTGGGCAAAAGATCCTGAAATCAGGGGACTCGGCTCTGGTCCTGGCTCTGCCACTGACTCCCCCACCAGGGCCAGCTTGGAGGCATCGTTTTCCTCCATGTGTCTGTTTCCCACAAAATAAGGGAAAATCTCTACCTTCCTTCTGTTGCATCAAGCCTGTAATATAAATACCTGACAGTGAGGGTGGTCTCCTCCCCCTACTCCCTGCTACAGACTGTTTCCCCCAAAATTCACATCTGATATTAGCCCTGATGTGAGGGTATGTGGAGGTGGAGTCTTTGGGAGGTCATTAGGTTTAGATGGGGTTGTGAGGGCAGGATCCTGACCTGATAGGATTAGTGTTCTTATAATAAGACGAGACACTAGAGAACTTGCCTGTACTCTTTGCTCTCTCTCCCTACAACTCATGCAATATGAGGACACAGTGGGGTGCTGGCTGTCTGCAAACTAGGAAGAGGGCCCTCACCAGAACCCAGCCATGCCAGCACCTGGATCCTGGACTTCCAGCCTCCAGAACTGTGAGAAATAAATTTCTGTGGTTAAGAAAAAACATTCAGTCTATGATATTTTGTGATGGGAGCCTGAGTAGACTAAGACACTCCCCTAGCCTTGCCTAGAGCTGCCTCAGCCTAGCAGGCCCTCGCAGATCTGTCTGTAGTAGTTGGACTGGGAGTATCACCAGCAGAGATGCCCCTAGGCTGATGGCTCTGATCCCTGTTGGTGTCCTCCGCTTGCAGAAGGGAGGGTCCCTCATAGGACAGCCCTTGGAAAGAGTCCAGGCCCCTTCCAGAGTTGTACATCTCTGGGGCCCCTCCAAGGAGAGCAGGCATGGCCCTGGGAGATGTGTCTCCAGGCAGCAATGCCAGGAGTTACCTTCTGAGTCTCCTCAGTGCAGGGGGTTCTGATGCTGAGGAGGGTAGACAAGAAGAGGAATCCCTTAGGGGTCACGGCAGTTCACAAGTTCACATAGCACTGCAACAGCAGTCTTCCCGAACCACACAGTGGCCTTGAAAGGCAGCAAATGACCATTCTTAGTTTAGAGATGAGCACTCAGACCCCGAGAGGGCCAATTCCCTTGCCCAGAGTAGAAGCGACATGATTTAAACCCAGTCTTTGGACTTCCAGTTTAGTACTGTTTTTGCTCTGCCACACTGTTTCTCAGACCTGTGCACAGAGAACCCCAGGATGACGCCAGGCAGGAGAGCTCTGAAGAGAGGCCCCAGCAGAGTCTGGGATGGGAGGAGGAGAGGACAGCCCATCAGGTAGGGGAGGAGGTTGCCCATGGGGGTGACATTGGGATGGGCTGGAAGGCACCAGGCCTGTTCAGAGAAGAGGGGACTTGCCACTTTGACTGAAGAACAGGAGGAGGCTTCAGGGAGGGCCCAGGGCAAGGCTAAAGAAGTGGAAGAGGGGGTTCTTCACTCTGCCAAATCAAGGAGTGTAATGGAAATTTATTCTAGGAGACAGTGGAAAGCCACTGAGGGTTATCAAGTGGAGAGCGGACCCTGTGCCAGGGGCTGTGGGGTGGCCTCTGTCCATTCACACTCCCAGTCATTTCATGTTGGCCTCTGACCTCCAACCTCCAGGAGCTCGCAGGCCAGTGGCCAGTGTAGTCCATGCACATCAGGCCTGTGGAGTCTTTCTTGGTGCTGGGATCCCCTTGCACAAGGTCAATCTCAGGGAACTGTCTAGAGAGGGAAGAAGTCCTCTCAGCTGAAGCTGGTAAAAGAGATCGCCTCATCCTCTCCCCCCAACACCCTGAGTCTGTGCATCTAACCGCCAGAGGCAAAAAGGCCTCTGGGAGAATCTGGGAAAGCAGAGCTTGGGGTCAGGGGACTGGAGGAAGGGAGGGGACATCACTCCAGAGGCCAGAGAACCCAAGGTGCCTGAAGGGGTAAGGGGGACAGCAGTGCCCATTTCATCCCAGGGCCCCTGGAAACCCTCCACGCTTTAGAGAACTTTCCAGAAGATGAGTGACACATTCTTAAGACCACTTGCTATCAAAGCTCTAAGTAGAGGCTGTCTCTATAAAGAGCCAAGAACACTCTTATCTGCTGAGCCAGGCCTGGCTGCCCCCACGCAGGCTTTACCAAAAAGGTACAGTCATGCCGTCTGGCTCTTTGTCATCTCGAGTAGAGCCGGGGAACATACATCCCAACCCCCAGTTAGCTGTGGCCACACTGAAAACCTAGCCCATTATTACAGGACAGGACAGTCAGAATGAATCATTCTGGGGCAGGCAGAAAGTCTTCAATTAGAGGAATAGCTCAACACATATGTATCAGCTGGTGGGTTAAATGCATCTCTCATGTGAAGTTCCTGAGGACAATTCTAACTTATCTGATTATCTCACAAGTCCTCATCTAGACACAACCATATATAAATAACAAAATTCACTATTCATTGCATTGTTGAACATTTACTCATGTAGATGGTTCCTCTGTGCCATTGGTTAGAAACCCACATTAAATGAGAACATGGGCAACACTTAAAAGTGGCCAAGTCATAATCCAGGTGTGGACCTGGGCAGGGGAGAGGAAGGGGCACATGATTCAAAGGAGATGGGGCTGCATTTGTTTAGAAGGACTCATGAGAATTTCTTAGGGTCCTATAACCATCTTATAGTCCATTCTTGATTATCACAGGAACGAGGTAGACAGAAGAAGGACTCCTCTTATTCTCAGAATAATCTAAAATGATGGAGAATTAAACAAACCAACAAACCCCTTACATCTGGCTTTGGCATGCTGTCAATGTCGATGCAATTCAACACACCCACCCTCTTTCTGCATCCCCTGTGCCCAATCCCTCCCTGAGCTGGCTGCAGAAGCAGTCGGGGAGGCAGCTGGGTGGGGAGCCACCGAAAGCTATAACATGGATAACCCATTTGCTGAGATTCAAGGATCTGTCCCAAACTGGAAATATTTTCTCACAGGCAGCATAGAGAGGCACGCCCAGCTGTGCAGCCAGCTCATCTGCCTAGATGAATGGATGATATAAAAAGGTGGATAAATTAGGTTGTGCCTACAATTGTACCAGTGGTCAGGGAACTTGGCCCTATAACCAGAAAGACCAGCAGGCTGGGGAAGATACATTGTGGTCCTTTTCTTCCATTTCTGATCCCTTCTCTCAAAATGACTATGTTTCAATTCTTTATCTTGGTCCACTTAGAAACAGAATTGCAGGGCAGCAAACACACCAGCATTCTTCAGTGAAGGAGAGAAGGAGGTCTGGGAGCATTTTTTTTTTTTTTTTTTTAATTAATGGAGACAGAGGTTGGGACCAGCTGCAAGGAAATGTGTACCCAGGACCCATCACTGCCAGCCTTACCATGTGCTGTGAGATCACCGGGATCAGAAAGCAGAGCAAAGCGTTTCTCAGGAGCATCCTCTTCTCCCAGGACTGACTTTGGAATCACACCCAGCAGAGTCTGAACCCACCACTTACTAGCGGGTGACCTTAGGCTCTTTACTTAATCCGAGCTACAGTTTTTCCCTCATCTGTCCCCTGAATGCAACAGCATGTGTGCTTAGCCCAGTGCTCAGCACGCAGCCAGCAGTCAGCGAGGGGTCCACATGATTATTCATGTGCCATACTAGACGGCTGGGGGTAGAGCAGAGAGAGAGCTGAGGACTAGGGCTCTGTCCAGCTTCGGAATGACAGGGAGGTGGGCTATGGAAACAGCAAAAAGCCACTTCAGGGCATAGGGGAAGGCAGTTTGAGGGGAGGGGTGGAGTAGCCACCAAGGCTCAATGGCTAAGAGATGCCGTCACACACATTCATTCGGGCCCAGCAAAGCCTGGAGACAGGACACACAGGCACATATACACGTCGGTAGCGCGCCCACACCCGCACCCACGGAACACCTGTGTAGGTCCCGCTTGTCCTTCAGACACTTACTTGCACACGTCTTCCCATCGCTGCGGAGCACGTGTCCCTCAGGACACTGACAGGCAAAGGATCTGTCCACGTTGACGCAGGAGTATTCACAACCATGGTCACTCAGCAGGCAGTAATCCACCCCTGCAAAACCAAAAGCCAGGCAGCCCTTTATCAGTGAGACCTCTGGGCGACGGTGATGGGATCAAGTGACCATCATGCCCACCCCACCCTCCCTCGAAGGCATGCAGTCCCAGTGGACATCCCCACCATCTCCCGGAGCAGAGCAAGGGGCAGGGGAGGAGTGCCCACGTACAACCTGTGCCTTCTGCAGTCACATAGGTTTCACTCCTGGTGCAAACCTTCCCCTATGAGAGGAGCGTGCAGGGACTCACGGGAGCAGGTCTTGAGGTCCTCGTTGATGAGGAAGCCTTCTGAGCACTGGCAGACGAAGGACTCCTCCGTGTTCAGACACAGCTGCTCACAGCCATGGTCCTGCTGTGCACAGTGGTCCACTCCTGCATTTCACACATGTGAAAGCATAGAGGAGCCGAGGGGGCAACACCCCACCAGCAACCAAGATTGAAAAACAAAACCGGAGGCATAATGAGCCACGGGGAAGGTGTCATTCTACCCCACACCCCTGGCCCCTCTAGAAAATCAGCCTGGCTTGTTGGTTTTCTTTCCCTTTTCACCCAGGCTGGAGTGCAGTGGCGAGATCTCAGCTCACTGCAACCTCCGCCTCCTGGGTTCAAGTGATTGTCCTGCCCCAGCCTCCAGAGTCACTAGCTGGGGTTACAGGTGCCTGGCACCACGCCCAGCCTTCTTTCCCATTTCTTTGTTTAAAGAGTAAAGCATACAACCCCAACGGCTGGGAAATGCTGTCCCTGGTATTGATGACAGCAGTACTCTGCCAGGGCCATGGTGCACAGAATCCACAGCCTCAGGGCACCTCTGAGAGCAGGTGCAATTCCCATTTCACAGAGAGGAAAGTGAGGCTCAGGAAGGTCAAGGTCAAAGCCACACAGCTGATAGAGTAGTGCTTAGAGTGCGGGTTCTGGCATCAAACTACCTAGATTCAAATCACACCTCTGCCACTTCTTAGCTATGGATGCTGGGCAGTCCCACGGCCTCTTTGCCATCGTTTCCTGATTTGTGAATGTGGATGTTGATGGTTGCTTTCTTATAGGAACAGGGTGAGAATAAGAGGAATTGATTCACATAAAGCGCTCAGAACAGTAGCTGGCATACGGCAACCACTTAATGAACACATTATTATTATCAAGTAGTGCTAAGAATTAGTTGTACCATTTCGTTTCTTTTTTTTTTTTTTTTTTTTTTTGAGACGGAGTCTTGCTCTGTCACCCAGGCTGGAGTGCAGTGGCCGGATCTCAGCTCACTGCAAGCTCCGCCTCCCGGGTTTACGCCGTTCTCCTGCCTCAGCCTCCCGAGTAGCTGGGACTACAGGTGCCCGCCACCTCGCCCTGCTAGTTTTTTTGTATTTTTTAGTAGAGACGGGGTTTCACCGTGTTAGCCGGGATCGTCTCTCGATCTCCTGGCCTCGTGATCCGCCCGTCTTGGCCTCCCAAAGTGCTGGGATTACAGGCTTGAGCCACCGCGCCCGGCCACCATTTCGTTTCTAATTGAAAATGAAAAAGAATTGTCATTCTCAATGAAATCAATTTCGTTGTTTTACCCCCATCATCAGGACATCCGGATTAAAAAAACAAACCAAAGCCTGGGCCTGCATGTGTGGCCCATCCTGGCATCCGAATGCTGCACAGCTGGTCCTCCGGGCAGCAAGCGCCGAAGGCTAATGAACACACAGCTGTGGTGGACGGCTCCCACTAACAGCCCTGCAGGCTGCCTCCCCGGTTTCCCTGATGGAGAAAATGCACCTCCAGAGACTGGACAGACACTGGCGGCCTTGTGCAGGACTGCCAAGTGGG